GGCAATAAAAGCCCCAAAAAGTATACTAAAAAAATAAATAAATGTCTTCTCATTAAGAGCACAAGTTCCAAAATTTCTCTCGAGCTAAATGTCTTTCAAGGACCTGGTTAAACTGTTCGTCAGCAGCCAAAACTCAGTCAGAAGGACATTTGTTCATGGTCTGCTCATACTTGCCAAAGAGTAGTTTGAGTTGCCAACATTAACTGTAGGGAGTAGCAGTACTTTCAGCAGCTATCCAACCCTAGTGACAACACTATAATACTGTAGCAATTCTGTTAGCTTCACCTAGCTAACACAGAGTAATGACAGAGTAGCAATGCTCACAAGACCCGCTGTATAACTCGCCTGGAAGTTGCAACACTCCCAGATGGTTCCCGCTGTCCCCTAGCCATACCAGGCTGTCCATAACAGATAATAAATGATTGCCTGCCCTTGCAGAATAAAATATCAAGCTGGGACACTCACCAGATGTGTGTTATGTCTTGGCCTGAAATGTCCAAGCCAGCTTTGAGTCCACGGAGGAGTGCAAATACACATTGTACACAGATAAATCTGACCAGTGGGGACACAATTATGACCTTCGCTGCAACGAGTCAGGAGCCGAGGATGTCACTGAGACAATGGCTCCCGCAGTTGAAGCTTGACTTTTTGCAATACAGTATAGTGTACTGTATGGACTAGAAGGAATTAAATAAAGGGAAACTAGTGTTGCATTTCATTAATTTAGTTTTTTTTATTGTGGTTTTACCTGAACAGCAGTACTGTAGTACAATATGTAGCAGGTTCAAACATCAAAACAGAATATGCTGTTAAAACAACAGGTGCAGAATACGTAACCAGAAATCAAAATAAATGTAACTTTTTAGCCACATTTAGTCCAGTTTTAACTTCGACAATCTTTCGACCTGCTATTCACCAGATTCATGATTACTGGATGACTACAACACCAGAATTTACCACCTGAATCAACAAAGAATAGCTAACAATGCAACAATGCAAAAACTAAAATGCATGATGAGAATGATACAAGTCTGCTTTATACACATGCAGGTTTCAAGCCTATATGCATATTTTATTCAGCAAGGTAAAATAGAGAACAGGTTATAAGATATCTTAAAGTAGATACTATATGCTTGCAAATAAAAACCAAATAGCTTTTTTTGCTCACTTTATTTCTTTATTTCTACACATTCCTGTTTGCAAATTTGCTTTGATCAGGCTATGATAAAGCAAGATTTTCCTCTGCAGTATGTAGGTCTACAGGTTGTTGACAAAATCTTCTCCAAAATCAATCATCTGTCTCAGTGCGCTCAGTATCAGTGTATCAGTGTCATCATCTGTGTCAATCTCTGAGTGGTAGTTCTTCACCGGAAAAATGCAGTTCAGTGGAATACCCAGCGACACATTCAATTCCTCCATCTGAATTAGAACAATTTGACATATTAAAAGATGACTACAAAATGTTGATAGTTTTTCATACAAACACGCAGCCCAAAGTGCATCACAAAGAGAAATTGAAACAACACAGACAAAANNATAATTTTGCAAGGCTAAAATGTATTACAATAGAAACAAAAGATTAACTAAATAATTCAAAAGAAAAAGAAAATAAACATCACTGAGAAACTTAAAAGAACAGTCTGTAACATTTAGACTCTAGAAATTAGAAATTGAATATAATATTTATAGGTATGTTTCCATTAGTTTATAATAACCTGAATAATCATTGTGTTTTCATTACCTTTGAATAAGCTGCTTTAATACAGATCTTGCAGATTGCCATGTTGAATTGCTATCTGGAACATAAAATGAAAGAAAATCTCTTATGTATGCAAGAAAAATGTAATTTAAAGCTTTGTAAACAAGTGAAATAATACAGACCGCCATGCAGTGCAGTGGATAATGTGGTCCATGTTCCTAGTTTTACTGATAGGAGTTAGTGGTACTACTAGTGGTGTATTTGCAGATTACAACTCACCCACTTCCCTCTCCCTTTTCAACCATGAGGGAGAAACTATAGTGGCCGTAAAACTTGGGGAAAACTCAAAAGGCCCCTTTCTAGAGCCAGGTGTTTGGTTTAGAACATTATGGTTCAACATAGCTGCTGCCACGGAAGGCGACATGCAGATCTGTAGATGAAAATGGTTTTTTCTCACAAAACATATCCATTCTTATTGCAGGTGATTTATACTATGAAAACATACCTCTGCCAATAGAGCTCCAAATGATATTATCAAAGGTGAAAAAACTGGTAAAAACCTCAACACAACTTTCTATTGCTTATTTGCTTCACTGAGTTTTCCTTTTTTCTTAGAAACTGGTGCGTTGCTCGACAAAGCCTTTACTTTCCAGTTTTCACTGAAGGCCGAAATCACATGGTTTACAGCTGAAACCCAAAGTCTCGAAAATATACATATATTGTTCATTCTCAACACAACTTTCTATTTTCTTATTTGCTTCACTGAGTTTTCCTTTTTTTCTTAGAAACTGGTCAGTTGCTCGACCAAAGCCTCTACTTTCCAGTTTTCACTGAAGGACGAAATCACATGTTTACAGCTGAACCCAAAGTCTCGAAATAATTACATATATGTTTATCTTGTGTGAATAAAATATACACTTTTCATTCCCACGAGTCAAAAAAAAAAGTTTCTTAACTGCCCAGCGCCACACCTAACAACACAATAAAGAATAGGCTACATCAGAAACGGCTACAGCATGGATGTATCCAATTTGTTATATTTAGGCTTGTATTAATACACAGAATGACATGTACATCCCATCACCTGGGAGATTAAAAAAACACATGATTTTTTCAGTCTTTCTAGTCACATGGCCTTGTGATTCACACATTTCCGACGGTACTTTAAGGCGCCATCACAACAGCTGAGTTGTTGACCAGAGATCACGTGATGACGTCACATCACGCTAACAACGTGTGGTTATTTGCACACTGCATTGTAGCCTACTTACTGATTTATTTCAAAGTATAGTAAGAGAAAAAAAGCTCAATTACACCTTGAAAGGAGTTATTTCAAGACATAGAGAGAGCATAGAAAAAATTTCATATTAAGTCAATCAAATCACTTCAAGCCTAACACATCTTTATCATATATTTCACTTTCATTGACACCTCCAATTGCGCTGTGCCACGCCCTCTGATGGACGGACAAGAAATTACTCCTACAATAATTTTCTTATTTATTTGCCACTATAAGGGACCAAGTCTCTCCTCAGTTTAGTTTTTTTGTTTGTTGTTGTTGTTGTTATTTCATTAATACTGTATCACAATACATTTGTAAAAACCACAAGACTGAAAAATATTGAAAACTTCAGGAGAAGGCCTGCATGAATCACCTCCAATGAATTGCATTACGGTATTAGTGTACTGTTTGGGACTAAAAAGAGTTAAATGAAGTGAAACTAATGACAAACTTAATTAATTATTTTTAGTTTTTATTGTGTTTTTTCCTGAACAGCAGTACTGTAGTACATTGATTAGATATAAAACAGGTTCAAACATTGAAACAGAAAATGCTGTTGGAACAACAGGTTCAGTATATGTAACCAGAACGTTTTAACCACATTCAGCCCAGTTTTAACTTAGACATTTAGATGCCTTTTGACCTGCTAATCATTTAGTTTATGATTAATGAGAGACTACAACACCATAAATCCATACCAATACCTGAATCAACAAAGCATATGCAATATTGCAGAAAATAGTCTGCTTTATGCACCTGCAAGTTTCAAGCCTATATTCATATTTTATTCAGCAAGGTAAAATACAGAACAAGTTATATTATAAGTCAAAATACATTATATACTTACAAATGAAAATCAATTCGCAAGATTGCCTACTTTATTTCTTTATTTCTACACATTTTTGTTTGCAAACTTGCTTTGATCAGGCTATGATAAAGCAAGATTTTCCTCTGCGGCATGTAGGTCTACAGGTTGTTGACAAAGTCTTCTCCAAAATCAATCATCTGTCTCAGTGCACTCAGTATCAGTGTATCAATGTCATCATCTGTGTAAATCTCTGAGTGGTAGTTCTTCACAGGAAAGATGCAGTTCAGTGGAATACCCAGCAACACACTCAATTCCTCCATCTGAATTAGAACAATTTCACATATGAAAAATACAACACAAGTCCCGAACAAAACAATATTTTGAACAAACTGACTAATTAGAAATTAAAAAACAAACAAAATGTCCAAACAAAGGTTGAATGACTTTCTACAAACTTACAAAATCACAAATAGAAACTTACCCTTGTCTTCAGGGACTTGCTCATGTACACGTTCTTTATATTGGTTTTGACCTCTGGAAAGGCTTCATCAATTTTGGTGAGAATAGCCAGTTGGGGAATCCCTGCCGATACAGAGCAGATTTTGAGTCAATGATGATCATGTTTGT